AGGGCAGACCAGGGCACCCAGCCAACAGGACCTTCATCCCGAAGCAGGAAACGTGTCCCTTGTCTGCCTTCCTCCCTATCATGGGGGTTCCAGGGTAATAGTCCCGTGAGCGATGTAGCGGTAAGGGCGTCGCTTTCAAAACCACAGATATGCATTGGAAGCCCGGTTCTACTACTTATGGTCCGTGTCATTTCGATAAAATTCTTAACCTTCCTGACAGGCCCAGGACCGGCGAGAGAACCCACAATTTAGACGCCAACCAACTCAGTAGTCAAGAAAATAATATTTTAATGCAATAATTTTAGAAGTCAAAATTCATACAAAAATCATGATGTACAAAATAAATAGCATACGTCAGCAGCCTGGCCTTTGGGACAGGGAAGGCGGCCAAGAGGAGAGTTGCAGAAGGAAGGTGGGAGCACGCATGGAGGAGGAGAAGGAGGAGATGGGGGAGAAGGGAGGGTGCAGGAGTGCGAGGAGAGTAAGTCTGGCTTCCAAGCCCACAGGCTCAGAAGAGATTTTTCCTTTTGCTTTTGCAGTTCTTAATCACGCTGCGAGTTTTGCACCCAACGCTAACGCGCTGATTCATCCACTGCCGGGAGGAGGCCCGGGGCTCTGAGGGCCGGTCCCGGTGGTTGCAAGTTCTTGGGGGTTGAGCGGGGAGCGAGTGGCTGCGGGGAGGAGCGAGGAGGTCGCAGCCCCGAGGGTAGTCCTCTGAGCGGGCTGCTGGGCCTGGGGCGTGGGGACCCGGGGAGGAAGCTGCGAAGCCGGGAGGCTCCGCGCGGTGGATACCAGAGGCGGCCCAGGGCGGACATGGTGAGGCCTGAGATCCCGCGCGCAAGTAGCGGGACTGCTGAAACTACGTGCGCCCTAGGCTGCCCGCAGTCCCCAGCCCGAGGCCAGGGGCGTTAACGTCGCAGCACCGCGGGCTTCTGCCGGAAGGACATTTCCCCTCACCTGCTGACCACACGGGCCTTTGAAAGAGGCGCGATCCGCCTTACGCCCACACGACATCCCTTTCTCTACACTATAGCTGGGCGCGACTGAGGTCTCGGGCGGAAAGCGCCAAGCACATCCCACCCAGGAGCTTCAGTGACACACAGGGGAGCTGGATCTTTGCTTTGCCTTTAGAGCAAGACTTGGGCAAGGGCTCCTCTGGTCCAGCTTTCTGGTCCACCGGCCTCCTGGGTCGGCCCGAGGCCCGGACGTTACCAGACACTTCTTGCAGCTAGGCTGCGAGGGAGCGCTTCTCCGGGACCACTTCTACGGGACCACTTTGGCTCGAGAAACTAAAACTCGCCGGGTGTGCGTCGGAAGGATCTTCGGAGGAAAGTCTCTGTCCACCCCTCCCGCCTCGCAGTGAAATCCGAGGCCGCGCAGCTCGCACCCCATCGGGCACGGGGCCGCGCGCTGCTCTCGGCAAGCCCCGGGAACGCGCCGTAGTGGCCTTGGAGGGGCTGCAGCTCCTCTGCCCACTACGCTTGGGAAATCTTTCCGTTCCATAAATCGAATTTAGGGATCCAAAGGCACCGAAGCCAGTTACTGTCGCTTTTAAAGCATCTACCAGAAAGAGCTGGAGGTGGCTGCGGACGGAAATCTCCGGCCATGTTCGGGAGTAGATAGATGCCCTTGTGCTGAGAAGAGGATCTCGCTTCTCCCCTTCTCTCCCGCCGCCCACAGAGGCTGCCAGGCTGCGCCCTCCGCTTGGCACCCCGCCCCACCTTCTCGGCCCGGCTCCTGACCACTGCCCCTGGGGAGGACTGGTTAGACCTGCCGGGACTGGTCCCGCAGCTCCCAGAGAAGGGAGCATTCGTTAGCATTCGTTAAGCGAGGGACCATTGTCCAAAAGCCGGAAAACGATTACCTTCTGGGCAGTTTTGGGGGTCAACTGTCTTCTGAGTTCCGGGAGCTACATATGAGAATTTGAGACAGTGGTGTATATAAGGAGACAACTTCCAGTCCTCCATATAATCAAATTCCATTTAACCAAACTCAGACGTATAACAACATTTTACATTCTTCGGCTCCAAAGTTTAAACGGGATGTAAATAACAGCCCAATACCCTCCTGTGGCTCCAATGCTCTGTGTACAATCCAAAACCATTACTTTATATATGAGCACCCGAGAGACATGTCTCTCCGATCGAGAATTTGGTGTTCAAAATTAGATATGATTAAAACTCTATATTATGCTTTACTTACGTTTGGTTGATTGTGTTGTATGTTAGGTATTTTATGCATATTAGGGTATTAATCCAAACAGTTATTTTCCAGGTAGGCATGAATTATTGGCCCTATTCTAACGTAGATGAAGAAACTGAAGCTTTGAGAGGTTTAGGTAACCTATGCAGTCTCGGGGTAATGCGTGTTAAAGTTAACATTCAGACTACTGCAGCCTCCGCTGCCTGAGAAGGGCCTAGAGAGATGTGTTAATGTGATTGTTTTGTTCCAGCCCCCGGGTGGTTTTACCTATTAACCTGCGCTGTCAGTGGGGTTTTAAAGGGACCTCCTGCACTCTCCGCTTTGAGAAAGCTTTGAATCATCTTTTGACAGCACCTCTCTGCCCAGAACTGGTTCCTCGTTTTTATGGCATCATATTGATTTGCAAAGGCAATAAATCTAGGAGGAGGGACAGTGTGCCCCCGTTAATAATGTTGCAGCACATGTTCTTACTGCCGTGGTTTCAACACCAACAAGATGCATAGCCTAGGGATCCCCAAACGGGTCACCCAGATTTGTTTAAAGTGGCCTTTTCAATATCTCTGGTTTGCCGCCTGCCTCCTACCGATCACTCATCCTTTCTTGTATAGTATTTTACCTGTAGAAGGATGAACAGTCGGGGGTTCCTGCGCACAAGAGACAGAGCTGGGCTAAGGCCGGGTAGGCACTTGGAAAGGAGGCGGAAACAAATTTCTGGCAATTCCGTTTTCCCCTTGCTTCATCAATTTTTCTGAAAATGTTCCTCTCGTGATATTATTCATATTCCACTTTGAGTCATTAAGGTAATTAAGAAAGAACACAGTCTTCCTCTGTGTAGAAAAGCAACTGCAGGGTGTTTTGTTTTGTTTTTTTTTTTAATGTATAATCTCGACGCAAGTGCTTGAAAACCAAATTCAGCTAACAAGATTTGCCACACCCTGTTGAAGCATATATCAAGGTCTAGACTAACAATGACATCTCCTGAACCCCCAAAATGTCCACTTCTTGAGAGAAATCTTACTTTCTAGACAAATTCTAAGCATTTGAAACAGGAAAGGAACCATTGTGGGCCTCCACTCAATACAAAGAAATGTCACGTATATTGAGAAGGTGTTGTGTGTGGGGAGAGATGTGTTGGCATGGAGGGCTTTAATAACCAAAACAGGGGTCTGGATTGTCCAAAACCGGCACAAAATTTAAGAATGGAAACGGACCCTCAGAGCATCCTACGGTTTAATTTGAAAGCCCTCAGCTTGCCAGCCTATGTTAATTCTACTTTGGCTCTTCAGCTAACAGCCCAGCCATGGCTGCAGGGCCCGGGGCTGATCAGGGTAGGGGCCCGGAGTGTAAGTCCTGCCCTCTGTCTGCTTCTAGCCGCTGGGGTGGACTGGCGGGAGATGGCCGCTCTGCCACGCCGGGTCCTGTTTTTGTCTCTCAAACGCACATAGAGACAGGCTAGGCGACAGCGTAAATTCCTTCCAGCACCAAAGTCTATGGTTTTACGAATTTCCCCAAACACTTATAAATCGACACTTTGAACTTCGATAGTGATATCAGAACGCATTTTTTAGTCACTTTCTTGCAGCACCTTGTTAAAACCTATTCACACACGATGACCAAGACAGGCTGAAATCACAACTCTTCCAGATGTCATCATTTTGTTCACACAAACGTTTGCGACAGCTATTTTAACTTGCAGTTTTCCCCAATAAATTTATTTCAGGAGTAGTGGGTGGTGCAGTGAAAAATTGGAGTTTTAAAATTTAATTTAAAAAAAAAAAAATTTAAGAAGAGGCTTCTAATAGCCAGACCGACTGGCTGGAAAAGAGAACAAATATTTACATGTACAGCTGAGTGTGTATGTCAGTCTGAGTTTACATGGCTCCATTCGAAGCGGATTACCCTGCGAATTCAGAGAATTTGAGATATTCAGGCCGAGTAGGGCTAACAGGACGCCCACCAACAAGGCCCTGGGAAGTCCGGGTCACAGCCGCCTTTGCAAAACCAGAGCGGTCGGTGTCTGCTTAGCCCGGGCGCTACCCTAAGGTTCGCACTCTCTCACTGCACTGCGCGTCGCGTGGTCACCGTAGGGCTCCGCGCCCTGACCTTCGCCTTTCCTTCGGCAGCGGCCCCATTTTCCGTAGTCCTTCTGGGGGGAAAAAGGAGCCCCAGGCTAGAGGGGCACTGCTGAGGAGCAGAAGCCATGCTTCTGAGAGCAGCACCCTTTGCCAAATGCCCGTAGTTCCCGCTAAGCTTATCTTTTCAGGGTTGCATTTGTTCAGCCCCACTGTCAAGGAGATTAAATTTGGGACCTCGAATGAGAGTCCCGGCCCTAGGATCTGCCCGGACTATGGACCTGACCTGTTGGCGCCAGCTGAGGCGTAGGTTCCCGCTCTACTGAGCGTTTCCCTACTTTCTTTTGGAACTTTGAGCGCAGTTAAGAAAAAGAATGGAAAAAGCAAGTACTCCCGAGCTTCCTCTGGTCTAGCCATAGGTTCCCCAACTAGGCCATGCCGGGATCTCGGGCGTTAGGCCGCGATGATACACCCTCTCACGACAGCGCGCACCGCCCTCCCGCTCGGGACTGCGACACCAGGCGAGGGTGTCCACGGCAGCTGCGTCAGCCTAGTGGTGGCACCCCTTTCCCTGATCCTGCTCTGGGCTACCGTACAGCCGGGACGCCAGGCCACGCGGGCGCCGCGCTTTGGGCGCGCCCTCAGCGCCCGGCCCGCGGCCCCGCCCCCGGCGGCGGAATCAGGAAGCAGTGACGTGGTGCGGCGCTGACTGGCTGCGGGCCGCCGGGATCGCCGCCGCCAGCAAATTAAGGCTCCGGGCAGCGAGCGCCGGGGCGCAGTGTTCCTGGCTCTGCGCCGCGCTCCGCACGCCCGCGCCCTAGCAGCGGCGCTAGGCTGATCGCCACCTCAGCCTGGGACGCCCCGGCCGTCCCTAGCCCCAGAGGGAGGAAAGACGCTGACGGGATGCTCCGGGACCCCGGGGCTTTGTGCAGCTGATGCCCATTTCCGCCTTCGGGCTGTGCAGCCTGTCGTCCTGCCGAGCGTCCCGGGGCGTGCGCACCCGCTGGAGTGCCCGGTGGGTCCTCTCCTCTCTGGCTGCTTCGAAGTCTCTGCGGCTCTGTGGCTTTGCGGTGGGTGATAGAGGCTAGTGCGGAGCTCTGAGAGGTTGGAGCTGACTCTTCTGGAGTCTCTGGCCCCGCTGTGACTGCTCTCGGAAACTTTGCACTGTGTTTCGGGTCTTTGTCTCCCTTGGGGAAGCTGGACGGCAGTTCAGCCGACCCCGTCCCTGGCCAGGACCGCGTGCTGGGGACCATGGAGTTCACGGCGTCGCCCAAGCCCCAACTCTCCTCCCGGGCCAACGCCTTCTCCATTGCCGCGCTCATGTCGAGCGGGGGCTCCAAGGAGAAGGAGGCGACGGAGAACACCATCAAACCCCTGGGTAAGTCAGGCTACTCGGCTCTCCGCCGAGGACCGGGGTGGTGCGCATCCATCTGTCCCCCTGTCCCTGGCCGCAGGCTGCTCGAAGCAGCTTCTGATGCTCAAGCCATGAGCCATACATCGCAGGTGGGAGATTTTTTTTCTTTTCGGTCCAAGTTTTCTTTGGAGGCTTCAGTCTGTTGCATGCGATGGGCTGTGCATCTTGTACCTGGGCCCGTCGGTCTCCCCAGTTGTCTAGAATCCATGTATCAGATCGGACATATGTTGTGTGTGTATGTTAGTATAAAAACATTCAGGGAAAAATAATAATACAATCCCTTTTAAAGCTCAACAGGATTTACTGTGCGTTTAACACCTGCTTGTGCGTTTGAAACCAAGGAGACACTAAACGATTTCACAGGAAACCAGTTTAATTTTCATTTTCTTCTGACTTGAATAGAATAGCGAGCTCTTTGAAACCACTGTGAAGTAAAATAAGCCAGTTCTCCCTGCACGAACCATTTTATTCACTGAAGCTCCAGATTTATCACCAAGACATCATTTTGTAACTGTCGACATTTTCATTTGAGGTTGGCAAAAACACTAACCAGCAACCATTTCTCAGATTCCTCTACTTTCAGTTATATTGTTTGTTTAACAACCTTTACCATTTATAGAAGACACCAGGCTAGGAGTAAAGGGAGAATAAGGATTATGTTCTCTTTATCACTAGTGAATTACATGGAAAAGAACCAGCCCAAGGTAAATATTTAAAATCCCTTTACAGCTGAGAGAGAAAGAACCGGTCTCATCATTGCCTGGTGGGTCCCCAGGAAATAATTATTGTACATCCTGATCATCTGGTATCCCTAAAATGTGAAAATCGGGTAGCTAACTTAAGGTAATTTTTCTTTTTTAACCTTCCCCAATTTTTCTTTTCTTCTCTCTGGCCTTCCCACACTTTAGCATATTATATCCAAAATAATAACAAGAAAAAAGGAAATGTTAGAGATCTAAAACGAGGTGCTTGGACATAAAGATGAGCGAAGTAAAATTCCTGTAGCTACTTGGAACGGAGGAAAAAGAAACTATTCGATCTCTAGAAAACAGAATATCAAAACAAAACAAACAAACAAACAAAAAACCAAAAACAAACAAACAAAAACACCTCTCCTCTAAGTTTTCACTCCCTTACCCTGGTTCTTCCCACCGACCTCCCATCTCAATCTAAATCTGGCAAAGAAATGGAAACAATCAATCAAACAAACCCCGATTGTTTAGAAAAATATAACTAACAGTTTCAAAGTTATATTGTGGACTTCTAAACATTACGCATTGCTGTTTAGCATGCATAGTTGCTGAATGCTTTGCAAATATCTCAGTTTATTACATAGGAGGAAAAGAGGATTTCAGGTTAAAATTCCTGACGGAAGTGTAGACAGCAGATTGGGAAACATGCCAGCCCCAGCTGCACTGTCATTTCAACATTACTTCCTTCTCTCTTTATTTTTCTGAGAAAAAAGACCTTTTATCAAAATTTCTAAATCTTGAACTTTAAAGCCATTCCTAGCTCACAACTCCACCACCACCACTAAGCCCCCACCCATGAACACACACTAGTCTATAAAATGAGTTTCCCTCTCCTGGCTTTTGAGATGGGCTCTAAAAGAACTAGCAGGCATTCTTGTCCCTTAACATGCCAGTTCAACAGAGGTGACTGCAAGCCAGGGACTCTAGCAAGAGAAACGCATAAAAGTTCTGTTAAGAGAGAATGTGAGATTTTTGTTGAAGCAAACAGTAGAGTGGGAAGGAGGATTCCAGTGTGTCCCAGGATTGCCCATTTAAACGCCTGAAGTCTATTTAAAAGAACACCTTCAGTCCACTGAAGCATTTCTATTTCATTTTCTTCCTCTCCCGCTTCCCATCCGGATGCATTGGTCAGTCTGGGGCTTAGGGAGTTTGCCACTTTCAGTTGTCAGAAAAAAAAAAAAAAAAAAAAAAATCATCAAGACTACTTTTTACTTCCCACCAAAGATATCATGTGAATGTGTTTCTGAAAATGTTAGTAGAAAATAAGATTTTGTTATGGCGTGGTTTCCTTTCTTTAATCTGAAAAAAAATCAGGATGGCAGTTAATTTGATTATTCTTAAGTTAAATCATTTTCATGGATTGGATTATCATTGTATGAGAGGTAAAAGTAAAAACACTCGGTCTCCGGTTTTCTTCATGTGAAGATGTGTAGGAAATAAAAGACCTTATGATCCGTGTATGTCCCATATGCCCACATACATTATATGCATGCACATACATGCATTTAGAACTGGCTTTGATTTCTTGAGGGCACTTAAGAGATCAGCTTCACATTGCAAATTCAAGTAGTTTCTTTTTTGAGATTGAAGATAATTGGGACAATTACAAAAGTCTCCCTGTATTCCATCAAAGTGACTGGTGTAGTCCGAGGCCCTTATCAGCTGTGGGGGAGAATGTTTGGTTCATAGGCAGCAGTATTCCAACCTGGTGGTGGATGGCAGAGCATTCTTCCCACTTTAATACAGTGCCGGCCTGCGTTTGAGGTTGTTTTTCTCACTTCTAGGACTTTTTTGGGAGAAAGAAAAATTTTATACGTCACCCCTCAAGTAATTGTTCCACGTCTATTCTGAAAAATGGCCCACAGAACCTGCTCTTATGAGCAAGCTGTATGGTAGCATTTTTCATAAGACCTTGGGCTGGGAGGAAGAGTATAAAAATGTTCTAACTCTCACCATAAAGCCTAGAAAACTGAAAGTCAGGCACAGAGATGAAGTGACTGTTTTTTTGTCAACCACATTCCCCATTTTTCTTTTACCTTCCTATTCTCCTTTCCTTTTCTCTTATGGAGAGAGAACTCCAGGAAGGAAGGGAAAGTTCCTCTCCAAGTGAGGAAGGTGCTGATCTCTTTGCTATCTTGGTCTCCATGGAGAGAAATCCCTCCTGGTTGTCAAAGAGGCAGGACTGGTATCGGTCCCATGAGCTACGAAGTCTAGGATTGCGAGGGTGACAATAGAAATATTTGCTATTCATCCCTCATGATCATCACCTTTTCCTTCCTCCACTCTCACATTTTTATTTCACAGAGTGGACTTAGTACTGGTGGTGACAAGCCATCATTCTAGAACTCACTAGCTTGTTCAGGAAACACTGGGCATGTCACCCTATGGGAATCCCAGGTAATTTTACACAGTGATGGGTCGTCCCTACAGCCCCGCCTGGAGTTTCTGACCTTAACTTTTCCTGAGTCAAATCCAAGTGACCATTGTGGTTATGCTGTTCTTTCCAGATCTTTCCTTGTTTGACAGTGTCAGCTGTCATTCACCATTCTCTTTGCCTCCAGAGCAATTTGTGGAGAAGTCGTCCTGTGCCCAGCCCCTGGGTGAGCTGGCCAGCCTGGATGCTCACGGGGAGTTTGGTGGAGGCGGTGGCAGCAGCCCATCCTCCTCTTCTCTGTGTACTGAGCCGCTGATCCCCACCACCCCCATCATCCCCAGTGAGGAAATGGCCAAAATCGCCTGCAGCCTGGAGACCAAGGAGCTTTGGGACAAATTCCATGAGCTGGGCACCGAGATGATCATCACCAAGTCGGGCAGGTAGTGGGGCCTTGGGGGCTGGGGTGTGGAAAGTCAGGACACTCCCTGAGTAGCTGAGGGCGCTTCCTGGAACTGGGTGGGAGCTGGCTGGTCATGGAGCGGAGAGCCAGCTTTGCTCCAGGGCAGCTTCTTTCCACCAGCTTCCTTCCTTCCAGCTAGCTACAGGACTTCTAGTCATTTGTGTTCTCAGGATTGTTGAGAAGGGCACAGGGACCAGGGAGGCACACTAAGCCCAAAGGGTGTGGTCTGCTCTCCCTGGAGCTGAAGAAGGTTTGGAGGTGCGGGGGTCGGGATCTGGAAGGAGGAGGAATTTGTGCCAGGGGTGCCTGGTGAGCTGCTGGGTGCTTCTAGGTAGGTGAGTAGCTTTCCTTTTATCAGTCTCAATTTGCAAAAGCTGCCAACTCCTATTAAAAACTAAAATTAAAACCTGGAGGAAGAATGAAATTTGAAACGATAAAATTCCCTGTACGCAGGAGCACTGCTCGGGGCCTCTTGGCGCCAGAGCTGGGCGGGCTCCGGTCGGGCAGGAAGCTGCAGGGCTGCGGGAGGTTGGGACCGGGCAGAGGCCGGCAAAACTTGGTGGCTGTAGCTCTTGGGACTGCAGAAAATACTTGCAGGGTCTCTAAGAAATCCTTCCCCGAAACTTCTGCTCTTGGCTTTTCTTTTGCAAGAGCAGAGTTTTCTGGCTGGGATGCCGGTGGGTTGCGTGACTGGGTCAGCTCCAGGGACTTCGGGTCCTTTGACGTTTAAGTGAGCTTGATCATTGAAATGCATAGGGTTTCCTCCTAATCACAGACTTTCTAGTGTTAACACATACCCCCACCCCCACCCACACCTTCTCACCTAGCAGTTAACACTTACTTAAAGGTGACCCTTGAAATTTTCTAAGCTTAAAAGAACCACCCCCCCCCCCCACTCCCCATCTCTGTATTCACTTCTCTGAGGCTTTAAACAAAGCAAAAAGGGGTTTTGTGGACCGGAATCAGGAGTCAGGCCCTTTCCCTCCCTCCCTCCTTCCCACTCTCCTTTCTGTCTTCCCAATTAGGGCCAGTTTATTAGTCAGCGTAAACAGGGTCCATTTTCTGTCTCTCTCTGTCAGGAGGATGTTTCCCACCATCCGGGTGTCCTTTTCCGGGGTGGATCCTGAGGCCAAGTACATAGTCTTGATGGACATCGTCCCTGTGGACAACAAGAGGTACCGCTACGCCTACCACCGGTCCTCCTGGCTGGTCGCTGGCAAAGCCGACCCACCGTTGCCAGCCAGGTTTGTGCCTCTGGATTTTTTGCTGTGAAAACTGTTAACGCTTTTGTCAGAATGTTTCTGGCTTGTGTGAATTTTAAGCAAGTGTGTTTTTAAAGCAGCGGGCTCTGGCAAGAGAACATTCCAAGCCTGGACACTCTAGGATTGACTATACAAAATATGGGCTAGGCTCTGAGAAAGGTAGTTTGTGCCTAGAGAAAACACTGTCTTTAAGTTTGTTTCATCAGGCAGTAATTCATTTCAAAAGTTTTTCTTACATTCCAATTTGAGCATTCATTAGAAATGTGGACCCATTTTGTATAAATATAAATATAGACATTCTCTCTAGCTGCTGCTTAAAACCAGACTGAATAAGCCTACTGATGAAGTGGTTGTCCTAAAACCCTTTTTAGAAGAGTGTATTTTAGTAAAATGGTTGCTTATGGTATTTGTTAATCATGTGGTTATAACTCCACATCATAAACACCATTTAGGTAAAATTCAATTGTTTTTGACCAATAAAGGGTTCAGAGATTTTAAAGTAAAAATAAAAGCCAACTCTTATTTTCTCCCTTTATAATTTTAGTGGATGAATGTAATTCAACAACAGGTTCTTTTACATGAAACATTCTTCAGTTAATATATTAGGGATCATTATATTTACTCTTGTGAAATTCATTGCTAATACAGTTTTTCCAGGAGTACCATCTTTCAAAAAGCACATGCAAGTGTTTATTATTATTGTCTTAATCAAATGAGTATTCTAACAGGAAAAACATGTATTTGCTTATATGAAGAATAATAGATGAAGTTACAGGAATGTAACTGCCTATTTTAATACAAAACAAAACATATTAGCTGACTTTATGTTTTGGGTTCTAAGGCTCAGCCTGATAGCTTTTCAGTTGTTAAATGACTAATATTTTGTAATTGATTGAAAGTTCATATCAGAGTGAAGAGTTTATTTAAATGTCCAGGTTTAAGAACTGTTAAGTTACGGCTGGTACTTTGTGTCTAGTCTGGCGTCACAGTGAAGGCAAAGAATCAACAGACAATTACACATATGGTTCAGATAAAATATTCAGCTTAATTAGTAGTTTATTATATTATTGAGCTTATCATATGCTAAATGCACTAGAAAAGAGATTAAAAGCAATCTCTCAGAGTTTTCCATTCTCGGAACAGACTAGAAAGGTCGTCTTCCCAGCCATTCCATATCAGTATATTAAATAACAGTCAAGACTAAGAAAATCTAAAAAACAATTGCTACTCATTTGTTTTAGTTGAGCAAGAGTCACCAGTTTATAATAGATATTAAAATTAGTAAAAGTAGTATTCTCTTCTATTTACTATTAAATGGTTTACTATTATTCTTGAGCTTCCTTTCAAACTTTTCAATATTGTTTTAAATCAGAGAGAGAGAGTATTTTAGCAGATTCCTAACCATTTACTACCAGCAAACCCTCTTTTTCTCGTTTTTCCTCCAGTCTTTCCTCTAAGAAGTTAATCACTCTTATTAAACATACATTTTCTTCCTATCTGAAGGTATGGGGAGCTGATGCAGGCCAGCAGGACTTTGGAAATATGACATGCCTTGTTTATGTTACTAATCTGTTCTGGTTGGAGAAGAAAAGCGTGTACCAATACACTATCTTAACTGAAGCATGTTTAAGCTATTGCTGGAATTTTAAGTCTCCGGGGGACTTGAGAGGAGGGGCTTCCTGTATATTTTTTCATTCATCCTAGTTCAGCTTTTTCAGATTGATATGAAATAAAAATGTTTAGCTTATTATGGGATAAAAATATTCTAGGTAATAGCAACTATTCTTTACTATTATTGTTAAAAGAAGTAGTTTGCTATACTATCTGTCTCTCTAAGAGAAAAGCGAAGAACTTAGGAGGTGATAATTTTGTACTGGTGGCAAAAATTTCCCATGGTTTAAGGACTTTGAAGCATTTTATTTCAGACTGAAGGTCATTGGTCAGTCATTTCTAACCAGAAGAAATAATGCTTGACAGTATTACTTGATCATAATAATAGGTGAGACATTATTTATGATCTAAAATAATGTTACATTTTCATATAGGACATTTCCTTTTCTTTAAAGTACATAATTAATATTTAAATACATTAATATTAGCTATTACATGTGGAGAATGTGATCCTTAAAGAGGAAACATTTCATCAACTTTTAGGACTTTAAATAATTTTGGAGCTTTTTTAGAGGGAGAAATGTGGTTCTGATCAGTAAAACAACTGCACCTATAAAGAAAGCTACAGTCTTGGAAGCATGGTGCTTGAAAAGTGGTTGTGCTATCAAAGCATAATTGAAAGGCAACTGTGAGCACTCCTCCTAAAAACAGTGGAATTAACAGGCAGACAAATGCCTGAAGCCTTTAGAGTTTCTCTGTAGCTCTGGTAAGAATCTTTGGTGCTGTCAGCCTTTTTTGTGCATTGCTCCTGGTGGGCTTTGTGAGTTTCAGCATGGGTACAGAATTCTTCTGTTCTTAGTCCTCTGTGTGACAAACCATGGCACAGATTTCTTGTTCTTTACATGAATATTGCAAGGAAGACTTTATGACTTCTTATCCCTTGCTTTTGCCCTAATAAAAATATTTACGTTTATAGTTATAAGGATCCTATATAAAATTTTTATATAAATAAGGTGTTACATGGATAAAGGAATTTGTCCTATTAAATCAAGGATTTCAATTCCCCCTCATTAGTTCTGTAGTCTCTGTCTGACTTCAGAAAGATTTATGTCAAGAAGATACCAGGATGGGGACTTACAAGGAGCTGCACTTAAAGCGATTGTCACAGGTAGAAAAAATGACCTGCATTTAACTGTGAGTGAGTAAAAGATTGCCTTGCATGTAGCAACTGATCAATACATGATAAACAAATTTTTCCCATCAAAGTGAGTACTTTTTTTTGGCTTATGCTGTTTACAAATAAATAAATAATTTGAAGTGTGTCTAGCTTGTTTTAACTCTGTTTTAGTGAGCACATAAACAGATAACGATGAAAGCAGTAGTGTTTAATGTAACTGGAAGAACAACAGACTCCCAACTGATCTCTGGACTACTGGAAGTTCTCCATGTCCTTATATTAAAATTACTCCATCTTGTATTTACAAAGAATACAAACTGTAAATTTTAAAACTTTAAATAAATTGATTCTCTAAAATTATTTTCTCTTTTAAATTATTTATGTTTTCATTGTTATTTTAGAGATGCTTGTGATAGGAACTTCTTACACAGTTAGTGTAACCTACTTTTTCTTTTGAAAGCACCTTCAACAAGAAGATTTTGCATTTGATAGAAGCAGACCAGTAGTTTACTAGATAGATGGAAAAAAAAAAAAACCTTTAAAAAATGTCTTGATCAGCTTTTAATAGAAAATTTGCTAAGTATTAACTCTTTTAGATCATTGGAACATGAAGGAAAACATTAGACATTTTGGAGTTGTTTTGACATTGCAATATTAATAAATTTAAGGTATATGGGGCAATAAAATTTACCACTTATATATGGTTTGTGTGTTCCTTTAGAATCAGAACATTGTGTAACCCACAGAGACAGATTTTTTTAAAAAGTCTCCATAAAGTTTTCTTCTAACTTTCTTAGGCTCTATGTGCACCCAGATTCTCCTTTTACGGGTGAGCAACTACTCAAACAAATGGTGTCTTTTGAAAAGGTGAAACTTACCAACAATGAACTGGATCAACATGGCCATGTAAGTACCGGGCCGTGGACCGTGCAGGTTCCCCAAGATGGAATGGACAAGTTGCACAAAACTGCCTCTCTCTGAGTCCCTTCTTGCTTTCCCTCTCTCCTTCCTACCTTCTATCTCTGAGTCATTTTATAGGAACATTTATTGTTTTTCAGGGGACCTTGACTGATTTTGTTAATAGGTCATTAACAGGAATGCTGTGTGCCGTTTCTATGCAAGAAGGTCAGGAATCTTCTGTCCCATGGAATTCCCAAGGCTTCTAAAATTGCCGTACCACTCAAGCCAACTAAACTAAGAGAATGTACATTTTTGGAGGCTACTACAGACTCTTCTTGGGTTAAGCATCTAATTCTGTGAGCGGCATATCAGATAATAAAACCTAAAGATGATAGGGCTAGGACCTCTGATGGAGGTTCCCCAAAGTGTCTTCTATAGAATACATGTATGCGAGATGAAATAGAATCAAAGGAGTTTATGTCCAAATCAGTTTGAGAAAATGCTGTTTCCTCATTATGTAACCTTTTTAAAAAATTTTTTGGAGAATTTCATGAATATTAAAGCATAGAGAAACCGTGTAATTAAAAACAAAACAATTAGATTTTTTTGTCAGTATAAAGTTTGTTAAAATGTGGAAAAAAGAGAAATTAACTCTGTGTTCTTATCAGTAGTTTAGTAGAACAAATAGTCATTGGTACAGGTCCTTACATATTTGATAAAATGACTTTTTAAGGTACTGCCCGGGATGTTACTTCATGCATGCTCCTAAATAAAGATTCACATAAAAATTCTGTCTTAGATTTTATGCTAAGAAAACTTCAGAGAGACTTCCATAATATTTTGCCTTCTTTTAACAATTTTTAATTGATAATAATTGTACATATTTTTGGGGTACATGTGATGTTTTGATACATATATACGATGTGTGAGGATCAAATCTGTGCAACTTAGAGAAAGTGTTTGAAGACCTTTCTTAACAAAGATGGTCATAAATAGATAATAAGAAAGTTCTGGGTTTGGTTTCAAATGGTGAGATTAAACCTGGAACCAAATAAATCACTTCAGGAGCTAGCACTATCTCTCTGCCTGTAGGAGACCCTGTTTATTACAACGACGTCAGTGTAGCCACTTAACTCATGACTGTGGTGGTGGTGCTGTTGGGATATTGGAAGTAGCTTAATATGCTCTGTTTTCTTGTGTATTGAAAAAGAAAGATAATTGATCTTTAAGGTTATTGGCATAATTTTCCTTTCTTTTTTTAAACATGCTTCTACTGACAAATTTTGTTTCAGGTTAAAATTTCTGAAGTATGGAGTGATTTTTTTGTAGGTCAATGATCATTCTTAATGTCATTTACATTAAAATTTCTTGAACTTTAATGAAAATTTTTGCAGGAAAAAATGAAATTCTTTTATGATTCTGGAATTTTCTATAAATGAGGCTTTTAGAGGAATTACATGGCTCTTTCCAAAAAGACTTGAGAGTTCATTTTGAGATTAGTTGCCCATAATTGAAATGCTTTTCTTTTAGCATCAGCTTCATTGGGTAGTAGTAGCTCTAAACTAGATTTCAGAAGTTCTAGGGTCTAGCCTGATTATACCAAGATTATACCTTAAAAAACTGATTAGTCTTAGACATGTGCTTATATGCATTTTAGCTTTAAAACTTTTATATTTGCCAGGCATGGTGGCTTGCACCTGTAATTCCAGCACTTTGAGAGGCCGAGGTGGGAAGATTGTTTGAACCCAGGAGCTTGAAACCAGCCAGAGCAGCATAGGGAGACCTCATCTCTCCGAAAAAAATAAAACAAAAAATTAGCTGGTTATGGTAGCATGCACTTGTAGTCCCAGCTACTCCGGAGGCTGAGGTGGGAGGATCACTTGAGCCTGGGAGATGAAGCCTGCAGTGAGTTGTGGTTGTGCCACTGCAATTCAGCCTGGGTGACAGAGCAAGACCTTGTCTCAAAAAATATATATATTTAATGTAACCTTTTGTCAACAGAATTAGTGTGTTCTGAAAACTATTAATACAAGGAAAGATTGTTAGATCCTGTGTTGTTTAGCTAACTTCTTTGCATAGATTCTGAAGAAGCCTCTCTTACAGACACGTTTTTAGTTTCAGAAAAGGAAACTTTGTTATTCTCAAGAATTATTTCTTGAGTGAAGCAGAGCCCACATTTCTGTTAGTGTTCCTTAGCCCTCAAGTTGCAGGAGAGCTTGAGCAGAGTCAGGGAGTCCTGGGGTCTTAGTGACTGAGTCTGGGGTCTGTCCAATAACCTTTCCCAAAGGAAATTAACCTTCAGGTGGTGGAAGTGGGGAAAGAGGAAGCTTATTTAAAGCTTACTGCTTGTTCCATTTTGGTATGTGTATATATGGGTGGATGGGTATTTGAAAATTCTTATCTTCTCAGTAGAATATATGATGAATGTTACTTTTTTCTTATATCAATGACAGGAGGAAAATGTTTGCTTTTACTGCTTCAACTTTATTCAAGTTTTATGACTGAGTATCAATAGCTTGAAATCCTTGGAACAAGTGCATGGTACAAAGAGATGATATTATCATTTTAAAATATTGTTTTGATTTATTTAAAGACACCATTTATTTCAGTTATTCCTGTTCCAGTTTGGGATCATAAAAAGGCAGCATGTTCAAAAGTCAATCCCAGTTAATACCCTGTAACTTCAGGTTAGCTTGCATCTCAGCACAGAGAGAGACTGATTATATATCGGTTATCCCACAGTGACTAGTATTTAATTCTGCTAAAGTCAATCGGCAGAAGCCCTCATGCCCCACACCCAGGTTAGCCAAAAAAGCCAGGGAGCCATCAGTTGCATTATTAGCAGCAGCAACCAGCATAGAGTGCCATCGGTCCTGCCATGCTGTTTATTGATGTCTCCTGAGAGTCACACTCTCTGCCAGCTCCTTGGAGAGGAGGGCATACAATGTGACCCCTCTTATCCTCAGAAAGACATACCCCCAAATTTTGCAGACTTAGATAGCTGTTTGGATGGCAGGAGGGGAGATGTGGAAAACCTTTCATATTGGAAATTGAATTTTATTGCCCAGATACTAGGGGAGGGACAGCAGCGGCTAGGGAGTTGGGGAGGGATAACATGGGGAGAAATGCCAGATATAGGTGATGGGGAGGAGGGCAGCAAACCACATTGCCATGCATGTACCTATGCAACAGTCTTGCATGTTCTTCACATGTACCCCAAAACCTAAAATGCAATAAAAAATATATATACATATATATTTTTCATATATATGTATATGTATGTGAAAAAATATATATATTTTATATATAAAGATATTTTTCACATATCTTTATATATATTTATATTTATATATATATCTTTATAAATATATAGATAGATATATATATATAAATATAAAGATATATATTCACATATATATATAAAGATATGTGAAAAATACTGTCTATTGGTTGCCTTGTTAACAAGAGTGTGTTTATGGTTTGAAGTACTTGGCAACTTTTACTAGCTACAGAATGGAAGATGGCTATCATGATTCAGATTTGGTTCAATAACTGGAAGTTGGAAATCAAGGAAGCTGTCATAAATACTCCTATTACTACTAATTATACAGTTCATATTTGCTGAGCACTTCCTGTTTTCTCTGTGCCAGCCTTATGAGGTTAGTAACGTTTTTGCATATGAGAAAACTAGGAATTGGAGAGACGAAATCACATGGCCCAGGATTAAAGGACTAGAAACTGACAGATTCAAAATTTTAACCCAAGTTTGCCTAACACCACACTGCTTTTCTAAACTCTTTTATATTTTTCTCCATAAATGATAATCTGGCCTCTTAGAATGTATGATTTCTTATTTTAGAAAATGTAGACATGTGTCCTTTGGTCTAACTAGACTAACAAACCAAAAGTATTTAAAAGACTTGATTTTAAAAAATAAGTAAAACTTATCCTTCAGATGACCCCTCCCCTATGATTTTAGAAAGGACACTTGAAACAACCTGTGTGATTTGCAGTTGTTTTGGCAAAATGTGATTCACAACAATGACTCTGCGGTATCTTGTGAAAATGATTTGCCTTGAGGCCGAAAAGGGTAGATCTGTATCTTAAAATTGACTTTGAAATTGTAGATGCTTTGATTCTTTCTTGTCTCGCTGTAATTTGGCCTGTTTAGTAGTGTAAGTACGTAAAGTTCAGTACTTCCCATTTTTCTGTTGTAGATAATTTTGAACTCAATGCATAAGTACCAGCCAAGGGTACACATCATTAAGAAGAAAGACCACACAGCCTCATTGCTCAACCTGAAGTCTGAAGAATTTAGAACTTTTATCTTTCCAGAAACAGTTTTTACGGCAGTCACAGCCTACCAGAATCAACTGGTAAGTGTATGGTTCACAATTTTGTTCCTGCATAAGAGAAGGATTTAGGAGGTTCTTACATTTTCTTGGAGAGAAGAGATATCCCAGTATTCAAAATGGATGTTCACTTTGCAGAGAGCTATTGAGTTTCAGTACTATGACCTTTAAGAGTGTTTTGAGTGACTGTGTATTAGAGTATATTTTCTAGAATCTTTATATGATGGGTCAGATTTTTAACTGCCCACTTCCCCACCCACACCTAAGCCAATCTGCCTTCTCTCATTTTCTTCTCCAGAAAGTTACCTGCCTCCTTTTCCTCCTCCTGGTAACATGCATAACCATGTTCTTGTTGCTTCATAAAATTTAAAAGTTCAGTTTTTCTGCTGAATTAAATATACATATTCTATCCAACTGCCCAAACTGCTGATACTTTAGATATTTTGTGAGGTTTATTCCGCTATAATTTAGGATGAGATAATTTTAGTAAAATGATTTTAAATGTCTTTTTAGATAGTAAACTACAATATGTAAGGTGTTGTATATTTAACATCAAGGCATCTAATTTGTATTATTGAGTTATATGCAGGTTGAATATCCCTAATACAAAAACCCAAAATCTGAATGCTCCAAAATCTGAAAGTTTTTGAACATTGACATGACACTCAAAGGAGATACTCATTGGAGCATTTCAGATTTTAGATTTATGGATTAAGGATGCTTAACCTGTAAGTATAATGCAAAATTCCCAAATCTGAAAAAATCTGAGATCCAAAATACTTTTGATTCCAAGCATTTCAGATAAGGGATACTCAACAGAGAGTATTTTTTACTCTCTGTTGTACATCACATTTAAAATTGATGCATTTCTGGCCAGGTGCGGTGGCTCATGCCTGTAATCCCAGCACTGTGGGAGGCCAAGGTGGATGGATCTCCTGAGGCCAGGAGTTCGAGACTGGCTTGGCCAACATGGTGAAACCCTGCCTCTACTAAAAATACAAAAATCAGCCAGGTGTGGTGGTGAGCGCTTGTTATTCCAGCTACTTGGGAGGCTGAGGCAGGAGAATCGCTTGAACCTGGGAGGCAGAGATTGCAGTGAGCAGAGATGGCGCCACTGTATTCCAGCCTGGGGGACAAAGCGAGACTCCATCTCAAAAAAAATAAAATAAATTAAAAAAAAAAATTAAATTAATGCATTTCTTCATCCATAAGACTTCTTCCAGCTTAGTAAATATTTATCAAGGCCATACTAAGGGCCGTGTACTGATAGACACTTCCCATGCATTTTCTTCTTTTGTGCCCAGCGTAAGCTTGAAGGGCTGTGGCAGTACTAACACTCCATAGGTGAGGAAACTGAAGCTAAGAAAGGGTAAGTAACTTCTCTCCATCAGAAAGGATCAGAAGTAGAATTCCTTTTCATAGACTTCAATATAAAAGCAAGTCACATGCTCAGTTTACTTGACACATTCCGTTGTTCATAAACTCTCTGTGTCTTTGTATCTTGCGTTTATTTCATTGGTCATAGGTAGCCGGACTACTGCTTTCCTCTTGTCTTGTTGTTGTTGGGTTTTGGGTTCTGAGTGATTAGCTATAGATGCTGCCTGGTAGATGGCTCAGAGTCCGGAGGAGGTTGGTCACCTGGAAGTGAGATGGTGTGGAACCTCTCGGGAAAGGCAATATGAAACTAACATCACAGGTAGCCCCACACAAATGAGATAATAGAAGCCAGGAAAATGAATGTGGGCAGATGGCCAGAGTGGTTGTGTAAGGCTTACTCTCCTAGGATTTCTGTACAACTTTGAGTAGATTTAATTTCACCAGTAGCTGCTCATTTCCTTACCTATATGTTAGGACCAAGAACTTACCAGACAACTTTAGGGGATTGCTGTGAAGATCAAATATAGTGGTCTGTGTAGGCTTGTTCCAAACAAGCCTTTGGAAGCTTGTCAGGTGCTCTGTAAATAAGGCATGTGGCTATGATTGGGCTATCTCAGAAATGTCAAAAGAGAATTTGTCACCATTTGGAGTTTAAAATTTTAGTGGCATATTACTTAATGAGATAGATAAATTAATGCATAATTGTTATCATGCTAATTATCTTATAGTAAAGGCAAGTATTGTAGCTTTTGATTATCTCCAAGTTGATAACATAGGAGTAGAAACATTCAGAGAATTCCCAAGCCAAAAGTTGGGGTATAGATGGAGGCCCATAAAGGCCTAAAGCACTAGTGCTGTTTCTCTGAGAATCTGGAACACTGAAACTAGCAATCCTGTTTTTAATTAATTTATTTTTAATTTATTTATTTTAATTTATTTGCATGTGGAATGCAAATGTCATAGACTCCAAAAAGATTCTGAAAACATTTCATCATTTTATGCTAATTAATTTTATAGCTTTTATAATATAGACCATGCTAATATTTATAACAATTGAAATCTATGCTAACTTAAGAAATCTTATTGATGTTTGGGAATGACATAGACACTTGTCATGTGGAAACCTCATTGCTTTTGTCATAATTCTCTTTAAAGAGGGCCAAAGCAAGAAGACGTAAATTGTTTTTCTTCTTTATTTTTTTTTAGTGAAAATTATAGAGATAAAAATTAAAGTTTCTAATAAACTTTAAAGTAAAATGGCTGAGATTTGGTTTAACAGGTAAGAGAGCAAGGCTGCCTAAGTGTTGGTGGGACCTCTCATATCATGGTACAATGGAATAGGAAGATTCTATTTACATAATACAAATTACAGTAGCTAGCATTTGGGTACTTACTATGTGCAAGACACCACTTCAATTCATAATCATATTTGATCTTGTCAATAATATCGTGAGATAGGAACAATAGTATTTTTATTCAGCGTCATACAGTTGGGGTAATTGAGGCATGAGTTAAATAAGTCATCTGAAGTGACCTTGCTCCTCCCATTGCAGATTTGAATCCAGGTGGTTAAGGTTCAAGAGGGAGTGCCCTCACCCTCTAAGCTGTGAGTGCCTGGTGTTCACAAAGAAGCAGAACTTCACCTCCTCTCAGCTCTTGGCCCTGACAGGCTCTGAGACATCCTTCTTAGAGTTCATCAATGCTTTATGCTCTTTTTTTTTTTTAAAACAAATGTGCTGTTCATACCACACATCAGCAAGTGTAACACAATGATGATCATCCTAAATGGGAGGTCAGAATATCTGCTAGTATTTGCTGCATCCAATTGGAGCCACATCTTTAATAGTGTTTTCTCATTTAATTCTTGTTTTCTCCAGTCAATTTTTTTTTTATTTAGAACAAATTTCAGACATGTAAAAAAGTAGACAAATAGTAAAATCAACCTCACATGCCTTCCACCCAGATTCAACAATGAACATTTTGCCAAATTTGCTTTTTCCCAAAATTTTCTCTCCTTCCCACTTCCTCTCTGTCTGCATATGGACTTTCCTCCTTCCTTTCCATTTTCTTCCCTCCCATTTTGAAACTAAGTTGTATGCCTCATGACACTTCTAAATACTCTGAAAGCCTGTTCTGACAATTAGGACATTATTCTTGTAATCCCAACATCTTCATCACAGCTAAGAAAATTTCTAAGAATTTGTTCTTTATATAACCTAGTATTCCATTTATATTAAAATTTTCAGGATAGACCAACTGCTCCAAAACCCACTCTGAATTAGGATCGAGCTAAAATTTATGGTTTGGATTTATTACTTTTAATTTAGAAAAATCTTTCCACATTTTTTTCTAAACATCTCATTTAATTCTGACACTGAGGCCTTGAAGAAGACCCCATGAGTCCCATTTTGTAGAATAAGAAACTGAGTTCAGAGTGGTTAAGGCATTCACCCAAGGTCACAAATCTGGTAAGTGACAGAACCAGCATGAGGTTTTGATCTTCTGGGTTTTAAATCCTCCTTTTTGGTGGCATGATGATAGATTGCAAGGCCAGGGAAGTGACCACTGACAGTGTCATCAAACACTGAATTTGAAAATATGGCTAATGAAGATTGGTGAAGATACTAATAAACACACATTCCAACAGAAGTTCCTCCTTTCAAAGGTTTATTTCTAATTAATATCATAAATGGGATCAAAATCCAGCCATCAGTGCCCAGCTTTTCTTTCTTGCATCAAGTATAAATATTGATATGATTAGTATGTCATGTCATTTCACTGCCAAGTAACCACAATGGAAGTGACTAAATTCAGAATTAATTTCCTTATAGATCCTTCTATGTCTGAATTTATTTCTCTGTATCCTTTTTTAAACCCATAGCCATATGCCTTTAAAATAAAAATCCAGTTCATAGTCAACAATTTGATTTGGTATCCTAACAGGCCAGTTTTGCAAATGGTTTCTAAACCTTGTAAGAACAATCAAAATTCCTCTTGTAGGTGCTGAATAAACATATGTGCAAGTGAATAAATAAAGTTGCAGGTTAGCATTTTCATTAGTACTGTGCCATTTTCTAAAGTTATCCTTGACTCTTTCTAGGCTTTCTACCATCTACTGTGACTTCACTGCTCTACCAAGTTTATGTAGTAATTTTCCTATAGCATATAATAATATATCCTACAGCATATAACAGCCTATCACATATAAATATATAGGAAATAAAGTAAATATATACTAAGTATGGTATTATAATTTTTTCACGTACAAAGAACAAAGAGGAAAGAGAAAAGAGAGAAAGACTTAAAAATTCACATTTAGGATCACTTTCATATATCTTAAACTTTGGATATGGCTGCTATTTTTATGTCTATTAGAATTTAAGTCACAGTTTCCAAAATAATTTATGAAAAAGATTCCTCATTTATTGTGCCTTATAGTTTCATTTATAAGTAATGAAAATAGGACTTCTTATTTGCTATTTCTTCCTCTGGTTTTTGCAAGGGAATGATTGCATTTCTTTACATTATTGGATGAAAGCTAAATACATTACACTTTCAACAAACTATTTTATAATTTAAGATTTAAAGGTCATGCGTTGTTTTTGAGCAGGCAGACCATTGTTGTAGAGTTGAAGTGTAGGTCAGGTTTCATTTTTAAATGTCTTTGGTCAGATATTTTCCTGATAATTGGAGAAATGGTCTCTGAGGGCCAATTTTACCTTGTGGCTGGGAACCCTAGCTGGATTCAGAGTCCAGTGATATTATACAGAATAACCACTGCAAAAGGCCTCCTTCTCTTTTGTACAGCAGGTAGTGTCAAAACCTGACCTCCACACATTTATTTACAGATAATAGAGATGCTGAAAGAGCGAACATTCTGGTTAGGAATTGCATTATATTCTATATTATTTAAATACATGAAAAAGTAGGGTTGTGCTTTGGACTGAATTAGTAATTTGGATACATGTAGACACACACTGAACAGCAGCATTTCTTAAGCACATACTACTAACCTTATTTGTTAGTGTTTTCTCTTGACAAAGTGAGAAATATTGCTGCTTTTAAGAATTTTTGAGTTATAAAGAAGCCATACCTCTGGTTTCTGTACCTACAATATTTGGCAGTTGATTCATTTTTGGTACTTCTTTTAGGATTACCTTTGATCAAGGTGATTTGTTCAACAGCATTACAAGCTGCAGGCATCCCGTATTCGGACATGAATGAAATGATGTCCAACTGAAATCACTGTCTGTAACCCAACTTCATTCTCTCATCGGTTCTCAAGTGTGTTATTTTTTCAGTTATCCCAAATTTCATAAAGAGATGTAAAACTACACCTTCAGAAATGAATTTCTTTCTAACTACTGGCTTTTTATTTAAATATTGTGGTATAAACTGTATGTCTGACCTTTTAAAATGTATGATTGCTTAGAATATTAAAATTTTGCTATTTGAAAATCATTTTATCTTAAAATTTAAAAAATGAAATGCTTTTCCTGTAAAGTCATGGTTTCATTTAGTTCATAATTGGTGAAAAGTTAAGGTCGTATTTCTGACTGTGCTTGTTCTTGAGGTAAAGCTCAACAAACATTTGTGGGGCTCTTATTGTGGACACTCCAGTAGGTTCAGAGCATAGTTATGGTGGGCTACAAGGAACGTGGTGGGCTCACAAAGAAGTTTAATCCACAATCTCTGTGCTGCTAATTATTAATACCCCATAAAAGCTGTTCAGGAATGTATATCATCAACCCAGAGCTCCCACACAATTTTAGTGATAATAGATCCATTCAGATTTTTTCTGCTCTCATGTTCAAAAGCAATTATTTTTCCTAGAATTAGATTAAATGGAAATAGAGAAAGTAATTGTTTTGAATTCTTTTTCTAATTAGTGCACTAAAATTTAAATAATTGCTGTAGCTAATTGGTAAATCTGGGTGTGCAAGAGCACTTTGTACTATTCTTGCAACTTTCCTGGAGTTTGAAGTTATATCAAAATGTAAAGAAATTACTATTGATACTCCTGGGGATTAGGAAAGCTGGATTAAAATGATGTTAGAAGTAGATAATCCTATAATGAGAGAAAATTTAAAGAAATCTGAAAACTCATGTTGAATTTAAGTTACTTCTTTGCTCAAAGTATGGCGGTATTATTAGCTGTGGTGACACACTAATTGTGAAACATGTGGTTTGAGAGTATGTATTTTCTGTGGTATTAGAGCACCGAAGAAATTAAGATAACTTCTTAATTATATTCTGAGACAGTGTTTTTACCTTTTGGAAAAAGAACAAGAAATCTGATTTTCAAAATTCTTTTCAGAAGTAAAGTATGTCAAAAGTCCACCTTTAATCATTAGAACAGATAGGTAATACTTTCTACCCTTTTAGTTTGTAAAGACTCAGAAAAAGCTTGGTACAATTCATATCGTAGAGAGATGGCTATAAAAATAACTTTCAAAATGAGGTTTTCATCCGATATATTATCTGTTGTTGTCTGTAGAAAATTTTATCCGTTGGCAAGCCTGTTTACTTTTCAATTTTATAAATGTGCTATTTGAAGTCAGCCTTACCTTTATTGCTTCACCTCACAGTTTCAGTTTGAAATTTTCATGTGGGTCTGATTTACCCTTAATGTCTCTAACCATACATTGGAGTTGGTGTCACCTTCTTTAGTGATATTTAGAGCCAGCTCTGTCTCTTATTAGCTGTGTGTGTCATCCGACATCTAGCACTGTGCATGTGCGTGGCAATTAATCCTCATTATTTGCTGATGAATTATTGAGAAAGCATATTAATTAACTATAAAGCACTTCAGAAATAGAACATATTTTAAGTATTGTTGTTCATTACTAAGAGACATAGCTTGTGTCCTGGAGGATTTTAAAATCTTGTTGGTATTTGTAATTGTAGACTGTATTGATTGCCTGGACTTTAGAAGATGTTTATAATTTATTTCAAACAAGTAGAATTTTTCTCCTTCCCTCCCAAAACTGACCTTCAAAAATGAGCCCTAGTTGGAATGAATGGATGAAACAAGACTATTTAGAGAGTTGTAGCTGTGGGTGAGAGAAGGTTCTCTATACAGTCTTTCCTGTACATGTCTTCATATACACACTTTAGCTATTGCTGTCCATGAGAACAGGTTTCTTATTTATGTAGCATATTTGCTTCCCTGTTTACCAATGCTCATAGCTTAGTGATTTTCTTTAGGGGCTTGACAGTGAATGTTGATGGGCTAGAAATGAGCATTTCTGAGGCACTGTCAAATGTTTTTAAAAGTTAGTATTATCAAAGAGTTAATCTTATAATTTGCCAGTATTATTGATAGAGGAGTCTCTCTGGCTGAGTTAGTATGTGGGGTTTTATTTTAAGTGAGGTGTAAATAGCTTCTTTGCAGCTTGTGCATTGGTTTAGATCACATTCAGAAACCACGGAAAAGAAAAAAACACATTTCTTTTGAAATGAAAAAAATTATTCACAACTGTTTAAAATGTTCTGTAGATATACCCTGACTGGGGGAAAAGTTGCTTTTTGGCAAGAGTATTTCAAACTATCTGTTTTGATTGTGTACTCCTTACTCTGAAAAAGAAGACATGCCTGTATTTTTTTTCCCCTGTTGAGAATCTTTTGCATGCATTTCTCTCTAAAGATGAACATGGGTTCTAATTTTGATACTGAGAAGCTATGACTCCTTAAAGGTTTTCTTAGTTCTAATTCAGTTACTGACCAGCTGCATCTTGGCCCTTGTGCTCTTTGAGTCTCTGTGTGATTATCTGTCAGATGAGACCATGGGCTAGATAGTCTTTCAGCTTCCTTTCAGCTCTAACAATTCTGGTATTTTCCATGTTGAGTATCTTTTAATCAGTGTTTCCTTTATTTTTTCATTGCAAATTAATGTATTCTTTTTCAGAGGTGTTGTACATGTAATTTAATGGATCTTTCTACACTAATAGTAATACTGTGGGAATTCTGAATACTACAGCATGGACATTTAATATTTCAGATTGTGATTATTATTAGAATGTATTTTTCCATATAAACATTGAGTTTATAAATAACATTGCATGGAAGGATAACAGAAGATGGGCTAATTTGATTCTGATTTGTCAAATGGAAAGCGGGATAGGAGGAAATTTATATTCAGAAGGTTTTATGTCATGTATACCAATATCATATTGAATATGAGGCTATTATTGGCCATTTTATCTTTTATCTATTATGGTATGTATATGTACTCACAGTACTAACAAAAAATGAGACCGCATTCTTGCTTTCGTTCCCCATTCCCTATCAGTGCTGGAATTCATAACTCTTATTTAGGCAGTTCTTACATTCTTCTGTTCAGCCTTGGCCTTTGACATATTATATATTAAATACTGCACACCCCATTTCACATCTACTTTTGCCTCAAAGGCTCCCATCCCTAATTGTATCTATCTGTCAACCTCTAGCCTGTCCTCAATACCTCCTTCTCTCTGAGGCCTTTCCCACTATCCCACCTGGCTGGGATTTGTCCCTCTTGTGAACTTGCGTAGCACTTTCCACGCTTCTCACAACACTGAGAGACATTAAGATATTCTTGGTGTGCTATGGAGAATGAACAAACTATTTCTGATTTTACTTCCTTGACCTCACAAATGATAATGTTTTGTACCCATTCTTTCCAGATAACCAAGCTGAAAATAGATAGCAATCCTTTTGCCAAAGGATTCCGGGACTCCTCCAGGCTCACTGACATTGAGAGGTAATAAGAATTTTCTGTTTACTTTCTTGTTCAGACAAGATCAAGAGAAGAGGGAGTTTGTAAGAACACACTCCTTTCGACACCAGAGAATCATAACCTTACTATATATAGTCTGTTATATATATATATATTCTGTTCTCTGTACGCCATTCCTTGTGCATATGAAACTGCTTAAGCCTGACAGCTACTGTGACTGGATCTATTATATGCTTAATTTCTGAGTGAAATGGTTTCTTTGGTCAGGACATTTATTCCGCTATAAAAAAAATAGGGCTTTGTTGTTCTTAAAGACTTAGTTATCTTGACATTCTTAAGCTTCTTGACTCAATGAGTGGTAGTCTGTAGAGAAACAGAACTGTGATAGCCTTTTACTTTCCCAAGTAGATATGTTTGCTAACACAGACAGTGTAAAGGTAGTTTGGAATTTTGAAACAAGGAGATGTAATTTAATTCAAGGTCATATAATTTTTACCAATATAGTAGATTGCTTATATTTAATAGAAGAGACATCAGGCGGGTCTCAGGACCTCTAAGAAGACAAGTGACAATTACGTGCCTGTAACTTACCCTACCTTTTTACTCAATTAAAATGGTTCATGCAGCTTGAGACCATCAAGGTGAAAGTAATGAATATATAGAGATACGTACTTTGCCTCGTATGAATGTCAAAAATTGTTTTTCAAAGAGAAGATTTTTAAACCTAATTGATTATTTGCATTTCTTAAACACACTAATTCTTTTATGTGGCCCGATGTCTTTATTGATGGGGGAGGTTCCCTAGCTACTAGAACCACTTGTTTACTTTATCTCTACATCTTTGTATAATTTCCCTACTCATTGCTACATGTCTCTGCTGCACTCTTTGTTACCTACATAGCCACATCTCCTGGCATCAACACTTCTGTGTAACCTATCTTGGCAACTCAAATTAAGAGATAATTATATATTTTAGCAACCCTTCTCTCAGCCTTTGTAAGTCTTCCCAAATGGCAGAATGTGAGACAGAGGTTTGATTTTGGGGGGACAGACTTAGAGGCTCAGCAGGGAAGCAAATGAGTTAGCAGGAGAGGCTGAATGCTGAGCAGGAACTATGGGATCTGAGCAGAAAAGAAAGATTAAATAGTTGGAGAGCTTGTGAAGTGGCTGGAGGTGTTGAGATCAGGAAACGAAACTTGAGCTTGGGATTGAAAATCCATTGCAAAGTGCAGAGAGAACGCAAGTGGTAACTCTCAAATTAGGTGGGACACAAGTCAGTGAGAATGTGGTACCAGCAGTGTGCGCAGCAAAGGAGTCTACTTGCAAAAGGCAACTTCATTTAGGCATGACTTTCTTTCCTCTTTCTGAGGGCCAGAATCCCTGCTGCAGACCGGGTTTATGCAGTTGGGATTATTAAAAGTGAACTCTTTCTCAGTTTTATTCAGGTGGCAAGTAAGAATGGAGACAATGACACAGTGGGGTGGTAGTGATGTGTTTTTATAGTGTGTGTCATATTTTCTGTCTGAGACCATGGGGGTACACATGATATATTGGGAGAAAAAAAGTTATGGGTTAGAGTCTCACTTCTGCCTTTTCCTGGGTGAGTGATCCTGGAGAAGTCAGTAGACTTCTGAGTCTGTTCCCTCATCTAGAAAATGGAAAAAATAACCCTGCTCACCTCTGAGGTTTATTCTGAGACTAAAATAAGCTGGCATTTATGACAGCATTTTATAAATCTAAAAATGTAAAATAATTACAAGTTCTTCATCTTGTTCTATGAGCATTTCATCTCACAGCTTTTATCCCATGTAACTCTATGTTTCATAGTCTTAATAAACTACTTCTAGAGTAAAAATAGCCTTGTAGTTGCACATGGGTTTACAAGATAGGAGGTACTCAGTCTGACTGCTCTTTAGAACGGCAGATTTGATAATGCGTGTGGCCACATATTCCACTTATTGAATAAGCATCCTGATGTGGGAGCACTCACATGTACATGAAGCTAAGTAGCTTTCAATGGTCTGAGGGCAAAGACGGTACTCTTACATGACTAGCTGAAAGTTTGCAAGATGACCTAAGTAGTGTGAAATTGGCCAAGGTTTTGGATTTCATTTCCAGATATTTAAGTCTGAATTTTTCATAAACAGCCTTTGGGGATGGGACAAATCAGATCAATTGATCTTTAGAGACCTAAAGAAATTAAATTAGTCTGGAGTCAGTTACTGCACTAAACCATCTAGTAATTGAATTGCTCCTTGTAACTGATTGAAAACAGCCCTATCCTTAACAATATAGGGAGCTTTTCTTTATAAGAGATCTGAGAGAAAAACACATCTTTTTATGACATGATGACAGATATTGCACTTTTCTAGCATAATTGAATATGATGTTATAAATACGTGACCTTAATGATTTCAAGTTTCCTGTTTCAGATTTACAACTTAATGTGTGGGACACCCAAACAAAAATGCCTTTAGGATTGGATCTGTTTGCCTGTAAATTCACAGTTTTAATCCTTCTACAGCTGCACAAGCTTTTAGGATACTCGTAAAGGCATTTCCATTTTCTTGCTCTAATTTTACTAGGTTCCATTGAGATACTTGAATGTCTCACTTTGTGTGTAGCCTTACTCTTCAGGGACATCATCTTCCTCATTTCTAAAAGAAAACTCACCTCACTGGCAAAAATATCAAATATTTTCATTACTGCTGTGTAATGTACCTACTATGGTCAACCAAGAAGCAAACCAAAAGCCCAAAGGGATATCCTTGTATAATCTAATGTGTAGTTTCTCAGATTGGGGAAAAGTTATTGGCTGGTTCCATATAACAAAAAGCTTTAGACAGTCATTCAGTTGGTATTTTGTGATTTCTTTTTTTTTTTTGGGGTGGGGGTGGGGGAGTTGTTAACTTTGTCCAGTACAAAAAAGCACAGTGTTACTTCTGAGAAAGGAAAAATAACTGGGAGGGGTTATGTTTTATTCAAAATTAAGTTTCTTTTATTAATTTTTTTTCTTTTTACAGTGAGTATGTGTTCATTGCCAAAAAATGAGAAAATATGGACAAGTAAGAAATAGAGCATAAAAAACCAGTGACACTTCATTTTCTTAGCTAACCACTGGCAAAACCCCATTATATATATAAGATACTTTCTTACACACGTACGAACATTTACTTCCTTTAAAGTTTATCATGCCAACCATATTATTTTTAATCATTTCCCTCTTAATATAAATAGATATATCTCTGCAGTACATTTTTTAATGGCTTTCTAATTTTCCATTTGGTGCTATAATTTATTTGACTAATCCCATGCATTAGTTATTTAGATTTCTGAGTTTTTGCTGTTACAGGTAATGCCAGGAGGAAAATACATATCTACATGTCTTTACACATCTTAATTATTACCTAGGATAAATATCCACAAATAAAAATGCTGAGTCAAAGGATATATTTTTTTTTATCTTAGTATTATTTTTAATTGCTTAAAAATTTGGGAAAAGAACCCAAATATGCAATAATAGGAGAACGGTTTAATAAACTTTATAGTCATGCAATGGAAGTTTTAGAAATTGTGGTAAAATATACATAACATAAAATTGACCATTTTAATTATTTTAAAGTGGACAATTCAGTGACATTAAGTACATTCATGATGTCACATAACCGTCACTACTATCCATTTCTAGAATGTTTTCATCATCCCAAACAGAAACTCCATACCCATTAAAATGACTTCTAATTTACTTTCACTTCGACGCCCTGGTAATCTGTATTCTACTTTCTGCATCTATGAATTTATCTAGTCTAGGTACCTCAAATAAGTGGAAAGATATGTAGTCATGAGTCACTTATCAGTAGGGCTACATTCTGAGAAATACATTGTTTGGAGATTTTGTCATTGTGAAAACATCATAGAGTATATTTACACAAACCCAAATGGTACAGCCTACTACATACATAGGTATGGCCTGTTGATCCTAAACTATAAACCATACTGTGCTGCATGTTACTGTACTGAATGCTGTAGGCAATTGTAATGCAAGGGTAGATATTTATGTACCTAAACATTAAAAAGGTACAGTAAAAATACAGTGTAAAACGAAAAAATGATACACCTGTATAGGGCACTCGCCATGAATGGATCTTAAGGTCTGGCATTTGCTCTGAGTGAGTGGGTGAGTGGTGAGTAAATGTGAAGGCCTAGGACGTTACTGAACACTACTGTAGACTTCATAAACACTGTACATGTAGGCTACACTAAATTTATAAAGAATATTTTTCTTTAAGAATAAATTAAACTTAGCTTATTGTAACGTTTTTACTTTCTAAACTTTTTAATTTTTTTAACTTTTTGACACTTCTGTAACACTTAGCTTAAAACATACACATCATACACTGTGCAAAAATATTTTTTCTTTATATCTTTATTTATTTATTTTTTGTTTTTAAAACATTTTTGTTGAAACTTAAGACATAGTCACACATATCAGGCCCACCCAGGGTCAGGATCATCAATATCACTGTCTTTCACCTCCACGTCTTCTGTCACTGAAGGTCTTCAGGGACAATAACACACATGTCCTTTAATGATAATGCCTTCTTCTGGAATACCTCCCAAAGGATCTGCCAGAGACGGTTTCACAGTTAACTTGTTTTTTTAAAAAAAATAAGTGGAAGGAGTATGCTGTGAAATATTTATAAAAAGTATAGTATTAGTACATATACAAGCCAGTAACATCATTGTTTATTATCATTATCAAGCATGATGTACTTTATACCAACATGTGAGTGGTATGTTATGCTGCTGCATTATGATGGCTACAATGTCACTAGGTGGTAGACATTTTTCAGCTCCATTCTGATCTTAGGGGACCACCATTGTATATGTGGAACATCATGGGCTAAAACGTTGTTATGTGATACATGACTGTATACATTTTTAAGGCATTTCATGCATACTGCCAAATTTCCTGCAGGAAAGGTTGTTCACAGCAATTACTCATTTCTTTGCATGTTTATCAG